ACGCTCTTGGCACTACTTTTCCTCCATCGCTCTTTCTCTCTCTCTTTCNTCTCTCTCTCTCTCTCTTCATCATTCGCTTCCATCTTGTTTCATTATCATTTATACACTACGGAATCGCGCCATCTATCGTTCAGAGAATCCCTTTCTTCTTTCCACCCTTGCCCTCAATGATATTTCTATTTTTCTTTTTTTTCGTAAAGACCAATTTCCATATTCTTTTCCAATTCTCTTTCGCTCCCTGAGATCCGTTTCACATGGATCTCTCTCTCTATTCTTGCATTTATACTCGTATTACACGCACACATGCAATAACGACGCATCATTCACGCGCGAATACATTCATTTTATTCTATATCGTGTGGCGGATTCATCCGCTTCCTCCACGTTTCCGCTTCCATCGCGCGAATCACTCTCTCTCTCTCATTCTCTCTCTCATTCTCTCGCGAATTATCGCCAATAAATAATTTACTAAGTCTTTTTCGCAGCGAAACAAACTTCCAAAAAACGATATACATATACATGTACATATACATATACATATATACTCGATGATCAGAAATTACGTCACGTTGATCGGTGTGGTGTTGCGTGTTGGGTCGGCAGCAATGGCGCACTCTGGCGGCTTTTCTAGTCACTACAAATGCGTATTCATCAGCTACATTCGTTGGCCGTTCCCGCATCACTCTTCTCTCTTAATATCACCCTTTCTTCTCAACATCGACGCTAGATGCTTTATGCCTCGGAGGACACACGTCAGTCTTTCTAATACGAACTCTAGTTCGTGAGTGGTGGTGCCTTCGATAATTTCTTTTTTTTATTCATCTCGCTTAAATAGGCCTCTCTTATCAATCTCCTTTATTCTCCTATATTCTCTTCTTATTATTCGCTCCCTTATTACCGTCCACCTCATTCGTAAGGATTCTTCGTCTCCTTTCAGCTACATTTTAATAGAACTAACCCTGTCTCGTCTACGTTACTTTGGAATCGTCTGAGATCTAAGCTAGAGACTGGCCATGTAGGGATTGCCACATTACGTTAGGTATCGAGCACCTCAAGCACCGAAGATTACCGACCCACGAACGCAGCCTCGTGTCTTCCTCGTCTTCCTCGTTCTTCTTCCCGTGTGTCCCGTTTATCTCGCTCAGCTCGCGGGTGAGAGGGCGCTCCACTCCCGAAAAAAGAACCAGCTGGAGGGCCATCCAGCGGGCCTCCAAATGGAGGATCCAACAGCTACACCAGCGTTACAAGGAGTGTGGTATATACGGCGGAGAAGGAGGAGGAGAATCACCCCTTCGAATTCGACCCTCTCTTCTCCTCTCGGCCGGTGTTTGTCGGCGAGATTCTCCGCGCGCTCGGCTGCGATTCAAAAGCCCGTCGTCCACGCGATAACGAGGCGGTATCATCGTCAGCTGGCCGAACCCGTACCAACGTTTCTCCTGCGAGTCAGTCTTGAGGGATCCTCGACGGGTCGAGGATTCTCGAGGAGGGTAGAACAAGCACGACGACCTCTGTCCCAGTCTTGGATACAACAGCGTCGTCCTTGTGCCGGGTGTCGTCGACCCGTTCCTCTGTCTTT